AATGCCCTTGCCATCAGATTTCTAGAGAAGGAGAAATTTTTTACAACATTTTCAGTTTACAATAATGGCACAATAATTTTTTTAAAAAAATAGAATGTATTCCTTCATGTTGCCTTCTTTTGGCATTTAGTTGAAACCTAGTAAATCTGGAAGACTATAGATTTCTAGAAAGATGATGTACAATGCAAAACAGGACATACAACCATGTTGTTGACTACTTAATAATAACTAGCCATATTTGAATGTCACAACTGAGTTGGGGGGGGGGATAGTGTCTACTGGAATCACCTACATCCAACTAGATGTGGAATTCGTGTTAGGGTTACATCAAACAACACTAGATTTGTGTTGGGCTGAACTAGCCTTCCATGATCAGGCAGATCCTGCAAAGATTTCAGAGAAGATTCACCTTCAATTATTCAAAAATAATGCAACTAAGATGAGAGTTGTTAACAAAACAAAGGACAAGATATTCCACACACATTGGCTAACAGTGTAAGAAAGAAAAAAAAAGGGAATAGGGAGGAAAGAGAAACACACACATTTAGGTGACAAGAGTATTGTGCTGTAGCCAGTGGTGATACTCAAATTTTTTACTACCAGTTCTGTGAGTGTGGATTGGTGGACGTGGCTTTGTTCGGTGGGGGGGTCATGTGACTGAGTGGGCATGACCAACTTGATGTCAGTCATGGCAAGGTGGGGCGGCCACAGCATTCAGCCTGGATGCTTCTCTCCTCCTTTTCATATTTGCTCTATGGGTATGAGGCCAAGAAGGAAGAGAGAAGCAGCCAGGTTGAATGCTGTGGCAGAGAGAAGCCAAAGTTTTCAGCCTCCCTTCACAGCGGAGCTGCTCAGAAGGCAGCTCCTGTGGCTATCCCTTTATAGTCTCCCCCTTCCCCCCTTAACAGATTGTGGTGGCTGCCTTCCGAGCAGCACCGCTGCGACACTGTTCCTCCGGTGGCCGGACGTTCTCCTCACCAGGTCTGGCTGCAAGCGGCACTAGCAGGCAATGTGATGTGTGTGCATGGCCAGCGCAAAGAACAGGGCGGGGATAGTAGTGACGGTCACAGGACTACTTCAGGCCACTTTTTCAGCCTATCGTTTATGGTGGTGTTTGGGGCAAGAAGACTGCAGCCACTGCCTCTTTTTTGGTGCAAAACACCTCCAGCTGCTGCTGCTGGATTGGTTCCGGCTAACAAAGAGGAGGTGGCTACAGATTTATTGCACCAAAAACTACAGATAACTACAGGCCAAAAAAGAGGCCTGACATCCCATCACTGCCGATTGCCAGCTGGTGCTGCTTGCAGCCAGACCCAGCCAGGAGAATAGCCTGCTGCACTGGAGGGATGGTGTCACAGTGGAGCTGCCCAGAAGGCAGCCAAAAACTACCAGCAGCTGGAGGCTCTTGTGAAAGTGCCATCCCCCCCCCCAAGGCGGTCCTTTGGAGGGTAGGTGAGTGAGGCAGAGGGGGAGTGGGCAGCATGTAGACAGAGGTCTGGGGCATGGCTGGAGCTGGGGAACAGCATATTCCCTGAGCCAGCTGAGGTGAACAGTGAACAGGCAGAGGCTCTGGATCAAGGCTGGAGCTGGGGAATGACGCATTCTCCAACCAGTACAAGGCAAGGGGGGTGAGGCAAGGGGGGTGAAGCTAGCGAGGCCGCAGCCAGCACCACCTTGTGGGATGGAGCCATGCTGGTAACTTAGCCAGCAAGGCGAAGCCAGGGATGGGGGTGGGGGAAGCTAACTAGACCACAGCCAGCACGGGCTGGATGGAGCCATGCCAGTGACTTAGCTAGGCAGGCAAGTTCCAGGAACAGTGGGGCTAGTCAGCTTGCAGGCTTAACTATAGGCAGGAGGCGGCAAATCAGGGCTGCTCAGTTGGGCACAGGCATGAACCACTTGGGAAGGCAGTTTAGGCAGGCAATTTAGAGCAGAGACTGAGCACATGTGCGAGGATCAACACACAGTGAGGAGTGACTGGGTGGGGTGGGGAGAGTGACGAGCAGGGCGAGTAGGCAGGTGAGGTGAGCCAGAGGTGGTATTTGCCACTTCAGCAAACCCGTTTAAAATTTCCACTACTGGTTTGCCCGAACTGGCTGTAGGTTGTTTTGACAGAGTGACCCTTCCTTTGTTCAGCTGCCCGCTGCAAATAGCTGTATCCAAATACAGAGGAGGTAGTACAGTTTGGTAGAAATACAAATAAGGCCATCTTTCTTTCTGCAGAGCTTTAAATTGGCTCATGGTTGAACCATTACATTTCACAGAACTTGTTAAAATTTGGAAAGCAAAAAGAAGAAAAGAGCAGATAGATGGAGTGAATGCACATGCTGCAAATATTAAGGAAAAAAGACTGCTTGACTAAAAACTTCACAATTTATTTGCTAAAGCATGGAAGTATTTCACTATATCTACTCATGTGGTGCTGACAGGAATGTTGTAGGGAATCAAGGAGAGAAGTCTGTCTTGTTATATGGCTCTTTCCAAATCCTTTTAGTTACTATACAACAGGTGTGCCAAACTCGATTTCATTTAGGGCTGCATCAGCGGGCTGGGGTTGGGTATGGCCAAGAGCTTTGTCCAGCTCAATGTCATTTATGTTTGGGTCACCTGTGGTAGTCCGGGCATTCCCCCCCCCCCAGCTCCATTTTCTCTGGCAGAGGCACCGTGGGCTGGTCCTTCACTGTTTCCAGAACCACCCCGCGGGCCAGATCTGGCCTGTGGGTCTTGAGTTTGACACCCCTGCAATACAAAATGCAACAGTCTTAATAATGGCTGGGTTCTTTCTATTTTTACAGGGAAGAGAATAATACTGGCCATTCCATACATGACTTGATCACAGAGACCGTTCCTACTGCCCCTGCAGCCAAGAGAAATGAGACCCAAGATTCATTCCAAGAAGAGAAGACTCTGCTAATATTGTTTTATATTTCTCTACCTTTCCTTGTTTTTGGACTTTTCAGCAATGGAGCTGTTTTCTGGTTTCTCTGCTGTAGAATCAAAAAGACTAAATACACAGTATATGTACTGAATTTAGCCATTGCTGATTTCACTCTCCTCTTCAGTCACATCATACTTTTTTTTAACAGTCTAGTTGCCTGGGAGGACTATGATTGGAAGTTGAATTTCTATTTAGCAATTTATATTTTGGCATGTTTTGGATACAATACCAGTTTTTTCCTATTGACAGCAATTAGTGTGGAGAGGTATGTGGGGACATTTTTCCCCCTGTGCTATCATTTTAAACGGCCAAAGCATCTTTCTACCATAATGTGTGCTGTCCTGTGGGCCCTCTCCTGTATCATGATTGGACTAGATTATATATGTTGGAAGGAATACCAGAATTCCACAGGTATTTATCCTGCAAATATAGTCGTTGCTACTGTTCTCATGCTATTTTTGCCAGTTATGGTCTTTTGTAGCTTCAGTCTGTTTATCAAAATATCTAGATACCCAAAGTCAAAATCTCCAGCTCGCTTTTATCGTACTGTTATTATCACAGTCATTCTGTTTCTTATCTTTGCTGTGCCTCACAAGATCCTTTCTCTGATGGAATATATGCAGCCAACAGTGGACATAAATTGGGACATCATTCATAGCTTTTCCTTGCTTAATATAATCAACAGCAGCCTCAATCCTATTGTTTACTTTTTTGTTGGAAGACAGAAACAGCGACATTTCAAGGAACCCTTGCATGTAGTGATCTATAGGTCCTGCAATGATGAAGCCCTGGATCCTATAAGCAGTAAACAAGCGACTCATTCCCACTAAAAGCAGCTTTCTACAGATCCATTTGGTGAAAAGTGATTGATTTATTCAAAAGGCTGCTTATGAAGAAATCAGTTCTCTAACATGTTACAGGATGATGATTTGCCAAGGCAGATTTCCATATTTCTAACCACATCACCTCTGTACCTGGGATCTGATTTTTTTTCTTACCTTTATTAGGATATATAATTTTAATTTGGTTGGTTTTTTAGATAATCAACCATTATTGTTTGCAGCTGATAATAAAGAGCCTTTCTCAATAACCTATATAAATATAAAATTAAGAAGTCTCTTGGCACTTCAGATATCCAGTTTTCTTCAATATGCAATGAGGCATGGACCAATGCTCTAACTGTATCCATGTGCAAACTTCTTTTGCATTATGCCATTTATTTTGGCTTGTTTGTTGTAGAACTACTTTATATGTATTCCTGTTCTTCCTATTATTGCAAAGAAAATGGAACTTACATGTTGAAAACAGAAAAATAACAAGTTTGCAATAAACTTTAACCAGCTTTTCCTACTTCAGCTATGGATAATGTACCTGCTCTTCACTTCCAATATTGCTAAAAGTAATGGCATTTGTGGCATGATTAGAGGTATGTGTGGATGCTGATTTCCTTAAGAGGACAACATTTTATTTCCTAGGAAAGAAGAAAATAATACCTCAACACCTTAGGCACATCTGCAGAAGATGAGGACAAAGTTAGAAACAATAGATTGGACTTAAAGTATGTGGGGAATAATTACAAATGGAATGAATGGAGACGTGATACACACTCAATGTGTCTCATACTCAAATATAATATCCTAGGATATATATATGTAATGATCATGTTGACTTCCTATTTTTTGCTTCCTGCAACACCCTCGATGTAATGGTAGATTTAAGCACTGGTACAACTTTTCTTCATTGACAATGCACCTTTTTCTTTGATCATTATGCCTAAACTTGGGAAATATAAATTTTTTTATTTTTTTTTTAGATTTTATTTAGCATTTATAGGCCGCCCTTTTCCCTGAGGGGACTCAGGGCGGCTTACAATAGTAAGGGAAGGGGAGTGAAAGACAAAATACAGAAAAAAAAATGTGTTATTGTCTGTTTGAACTATGT